ACTGCCTAGAGCTGTTTTTTTATGAACAAAGTGATAATCAAGTTTAATATGATGAGTATGAACATGATTAGCAGCTAAATACATGGCACTAGGATTGTCACAGTGAAGCATGACAAGAAAAGAAAGACGAACACCAAGCTTACCAAGTAAAAAAGCAAAGGCAAGTCGTTTCAGCACAGGCATGAGCTACAGGTACTTAAATTCGGTATTGGAGCAAGACACCATATGCTGCTTTTTAGAACTCCAGAAAATAAGATTGGAGCCACGATAGATTAAATGGCCAAGGTTAATCGTTGTGTGCCAGAACACCCCGCCCAATCATCATCGGAATAAGCAGACAAAGTAGCAAAAGAAACTTTGTAGGAGAAGATGAAGATCGTAATCAAGAGTACCTTTGAATAACGTAAAATGTGCTTAACAACAATCAAGTGGGTAGTGTGAGAAGAACTCATGTGCCAAGCAATGGTGTTGATAGCTGTCACATCCTAGTCTTGACTCCGCCGTAGCACGATATTGTTCGTTTTGGGCTACATCCTCACTGTTTTGTTTCTAGGAACTCACGAGCAACTTCCTAGTGGGTCACCCATCCTCGAATTGCTTTCGCTTAAACTCGCTTAAGTTCGGAGTTCCAATAGAACTCGAAGCCAGTGAGTTCTCAAAAGGCTTTGTGCTATATGGAGGTAAGCATGTATATATAAGGCACATCACCCCCTCTCCGTTGATCGATGTGGGATGTTACAATCCACCCCCCTTAGGGGCCCCGCGTCCTCGTCGGGACACTCGCACCACATGGTAGAGTGGCTCTGATACCATTCTGTCGCATCCGAGTCTCAACTCCGCCATATCACGATATTGTCCGTTTTGGGCCACGCCCTCACGGTTTTGTTTCTGTGAACTCATGAGCAACTTTGCAATGGGTCACCCATCCTGGGATTGCTTTCGCCTAAACTCTCTTAACTTCGGAGTTCCGATGGAACCCGAAGCCAATGAGTTGCCAAAAGGTCTCGTGCTATATGGAGGTGGGCATGTACATATAAGGCACATCACCCCCTTTTCGTTGGTCAATATGGGATGTTACAATAGCAAAAACAATATTAGGACAAGTGAGAGTTAGGTATTGAAGAAAACCAACTCGCGATACACCGTTGGAGAGGCAAGCAAGAAAAACCATGACTAGCAGTGAAAGAAACCTTGGCAGCAAGAGGCGTGGAGGTGGGTTTGCAGGAGACCATATCAACGTTCCATATATGAGGGTAATTTGACACTTTATTATAACTCAGTGCATTAGGCCATACATATCCTTCATTGTGAATTGTTGCAGGATACATAATTTCGTTTATAGGCCGCCACTGGGATGGTTTTAAAGATATTTTCCATTACTAAATTTAGGCTTATTTTATCTGTATGCATCTCAAAATGCCTCGCACCCCTCAGTATCAGGAATGATGCTTGTCTTGTTGATTATGCTAACACGAGTTAGTTATCAAACTCACACAAGACGCATTCTCAAATGTGGTTTATGTCTTTACTATCAGGAATACTGTAATAACTTAGAGGTCTACTACACAGACCTTATTTTGTGGGGGATTAGTAAGAATATATTTTCTTCATGAATAACCTTCAATTTGAACAAAATAAAAAATTTGTCATTCATTTTTTCCTTTAGAATGTCTTTAATATAGTGAATTGTCAATACCCAAGCCAATCTCTCTATCAAATGAGGCCTATTAGTTTGATAATTAGAATATCATCATAAGGACCAAAATCAATTAAAGCCACTTGACAAAAACAAGTACATCCTAATATTTATCTTTTCTTCAGATATAATTATTTAAAGAAATATTTATCCCTTAAACTTTTTCATGACACATGGGATGTTAAAACAGACTCTTGACTAAGCAAATGCATATGAAAGACAAACTTATCTTGTGCATATTATTTATGGTGTATCATATGTTTCTTCAAATAGCTGCTACTAGCCTGCCAATTAGGATTACCAACAATTTTAGTTTTTTTAGTTTCCATATGCTTATCAAACAATTCTTTAGCCGCTTTTACATATCCAAATTTCATGTAACCATTCTTCAATGTGTTGCAGTTGTTGGGAAGTTTGTACTAATAATATAAAGAATTCGATATAGGACATACCTTGTGGAATTAACAACTTCTGGATCACAATCTCGTTCCTACGAACCGTTGCACGAACCACAAAGTAGACCATTCAAGGGAGGATTCGGTTGCATCTAGTTCCGTTAGATTGCCTACGTACCTTATGCCAATGCACAGATTGCCTACGTACCTTATGTCAAGTATATATAAATAAGTTTGACGGTTGGATCGTTGAAACTAATTTCGTAGAATGCGTATCCCAGCAAAACAATAAATTCACTAACACTTTGAGTTTATTTATACTTTTATTAAGTATAACATAAGATTTTGTGGTATCCACTAGTGTAAATATTTTAAATTGAAGATCAAATTCACTCATTGTATTCATATAGAGTCAAGGGGTGTAGCTGTAAAAAATCATCAAAATCGGAGTTAAAACTACCGTTAAGCCATGATTTTTCGTTTATAACCGTCAAAAAGTTTTGTTGCGTTACTTGATCTTTGAATGTTTTTATTTATTTTTTTTATTTTTTGCGTATGGGATCTCAAAGTATATACAAACAAGTTTGACAATTTGATCGTTGAAACTGGTTTCGTAGATTGTGTATCCCAGCAAAATGATATATATATATATATATTTATTTATTTATTTATTTATTAAGTAGCTTTAAATTTATTTATTTTTTACGTATAACACTTAAGAAATTGAATGTTATGTATATTTATTAAGTAGCTTTAAATTTATTATCGTAGTTCAGATCAGGTTTTTATTAGAAAAAGATATTATTGTGGGTTTTACGTAAAAAAAAAAATTCAATTTGAAGAGAGTAAAGTCACATTTTCAGTAAATTTTATAATTTTTTTTTTTTAATATAACTAGCGTGATGCCACAATGTATACATGCGTCGCACAAATTGTTAAAATTTTGCCAATACAATTGAAAAAAAATGAATAGGGTTTCTTCGAAATTTGAATTAATGAATAGGGTTTCTTCGAAAAGGATTGTATGCCCTCCCACTTCCGGTGCCCTCCCTTGCCCTCCAGTTTTGTGTGATCACGGTTAAGTCACATCAACATTTTATATTGTTTTTTTTATAGAGATAATAAGACAAAAATGAATAGTAATATAAAATGTTGACGTGGATTAACCGTCACCACACAAACAAGAGGGCACGGAAGGACACCGGAAGTAGGAGGGCATACAATCCTCGTCCCTCCCACATTCCATTGATTGAAAGGATTGAATTTTTTTGAATAAAGATGTTGGTGACCTTTGAAGTCTGCTAGAATCAATTGCTAAAGTTGCTGGAGAAAAAAATAAAAAAATATTTATATTTATCTCATTAAAGAATGCAAACCCCGTTTTTGGATACGGGTTCGGAGTGGATTCCCTAATAACCATAATCAAATCCGAAACCGAACCATTTACCCGATGGTTATCGAATCCAAAACCAAATCATTTACCATATGATTATTCATAACCGTAAAATATCTGAAATTTAATCCCCGAAATCATACTATTCGGATCGATTACTTGCAAGATCGGATTTAACAGTTAAATTGTCATCCCTATTCCTCTCCCGTAGCCTTCCTCCTCATCTTCTTTCCATCCGTCCCGACTGCACCCAGCCAGCAGGCAGCAGCACAGAGGATGGGGGCATCTAGTCCGTGCCTTATTGGAATTTTCTCGAGATTTTACTCACTGTTTTGCAGAAAATGCCTCGAGTTGAGCAGCGATGGGAGCATCTAGTCCGTGCCGTATTGAGCAGGGAGAGGATGGGGGTTGATGCGTATGGCCGGCATGCTACTGGAATTGCTGGAAATGTTCCTTCCTCACTTGCAAACAATAGGGATATTGATGAAATTCTGAGAGCTGCTGATGAAATCCAAGACGAAGATCCCAATATTTCCAGAATTTGGACGTTACCCACTTCTTTTTTGTACTTTTTACTTCGAATTTTGAATTATAGTTTTTGTAGCTTGCTTGGGTTGTGGAAATTAAGTTTGTTTTCCTAAATGTGACATAAGAATCAGCGAGGATAATTTGGTAGCTGGGGTGGGGGGGGGAGGGAATGGATTGAGTACTTGGTTTCTTTGGGTCGAAAGTATGATCGTTTGAGTTGATGAGCAGCAAAGCAACCCACCTTGTACATTTTCCTCAGTCGTGGTGAATTACACTAGGAGGCCATTCCTGAAGTGCATAACGGCTTTTAGAAAGATGCTTAAACAGCTCACTTGGAATTTCTTACACAAAAGGAAACAAGATCTACATGAAAAAAATAAAAAATGAAACAATAAAATAAAATAAAATAATGTGTATCGAAATACTCGCATCCACCAATTAAAAATGAAAATTTCCAAAACTAACGTGTATCGAAACACTCGTATCCACCAATTTTCCACGCAGTCATTAACTGCAAACCGGCAGTTTGTTTTTAGTTCTGCAGAAATCAAGGAGAAGAGAATCAGGGCAAGGCTAAGGGAGAAAAAGGGACACCTCCTCAATTTTCAATCTTAATATTTTATTCTCAATTCTCAATCTCAAGCTTAATCCTCGGTAAAATCTTGGAAATTTAGAAAAAAAATAACCAAATTTTGGATCACATATGGAATTATAGCCATTTTTTAAATTTATGATTATTATGATAAAAATTTGATATAAAGTACTGATATACTCTTAAGGAGGACTCCATAGCTGTCACAACTCTTTTGCCATTTAGTTTCTCTCTCTAGATCTCTCTGCTACTGTCATTTGTGCATTACTAAAAGGTTTTTTTGACGATTTTGCGATAAGAGGCAAATTGAAAGCAAATATATAGATCAAACAGGCAAAGTGTGTCATATTTTAAAAGGGCAATGTGAGATTGAATCATATTGTGAAGGGACATTACGACAATTCAAACATTAATTTTTTGGTGATGCTCTTTCAACATTTGCAGATACGCTCTCTAATGTAGGTAAATAGTATCCTTTTATTGTTATACAGAGGGTAACTCACTTAAAATCTACTCTTCAATATTACATAACTAACAAACAGATAGTTTCAGGAATACAAACAAATAAACCATGCATGTTCAAATCAATTTGTCTTGCGTTTAAGCACAACAAAAAGGACAAATGGCGTCTTTGACTCATATATTGAGATTTGCTCTTCGATTTTCTGCTGATACAAGCTGAAGAGATCATCTAAGATTTCTTCTCCAAAATGTTGCTTGATCAGTCCCTCTATGGCAGCTCTCAGGGTAGATGCAGCAACTTTAGCTATAGCAGAAGCACTGAGAGCGCCATGTTTCACGACATGCTGAGGTAAGGTTTCCAACCTCTCTATACTAAAGCATCCATTTCGTTCCACAATGACTTCCAGTTCTTGGGGAGACACGAAGTAGCAAGGGATGTTAAATGAATCTACTGTTTCTTCACTAATTACCCCCTATATATAAACGAAAAACATGTATTAATTACGCACCTATATAAATCTAAGATACGGTCTTCTGAAATGCTGTATAAAGCAACAATTAATACTTGCAATATCAAATAGGTGACAGAAAACTCTGCAGTTACTTTGACATTCATCGATTTTTATACATAGATAGGAATTATTTTAGTATTGTCACAACTGCTATTTATTATTTATGTTATTTTGATGCACATTCACCTTGAAGATGAAACATTGAAAATCCGTTAGAATACCTCTACACAGAAAGAAAAAAAGAGCTTATAAAGAAACCAATTTAATAGACCGGTGTATGCAGGTTGATGAATATTGCTTACCTTCCCAGCCATCTCCAGGAAGCAAGATCCTAAAATGTCAAAAGCCACCATTTCAACAAAGGGACGAGGGAGTCCTAAAAGGTTAAGCACAATCAATCCTCGATGCACAGTCTCTAGTGCTCTTGCACGGAGGAAACACTCCATGTCCTCAGCATATTGAGCTTGATATGCCTTGAATACTTCGTCTTGGTTATTTGAGTAGTGGATTCGTCCTTTATTCCAAGCACGACTGCTTTTGGCCATTACATTTTTTGGTACTCGAGAAAGCCAATGAAGGGCAAATGAAGAGTGAAAAACGTTAACAGAAGCCTTGGGAAATAAGCGACCATAGAAAGAACCTGGCACACCCACTGCATGGTAGTTCCTGTTCTGAGGGAGGGATTTGAAGAGTGTGTTAAAATCATTTAGGGTATGGTCATTGAAGAAAACTTGAAATTCGGGGATTTCAGAACTCGGCCCTCGGCTTTGATACTCAAATATCACAGCTTCAAGTATATTTTCAACAGAAAAAAATGTATTAGGCCCGACCGAACAACCCAGATCTGCAATATGGAAGGTGTTGAATGGCTCCAGGTCAAGCTTTTCTTTCATAGCCTTGCGTAGAAGTTCTTTGGTAGCATCAACAACTACTTTCTGCAAAAGCACAAATCACATTACAATGCTAATATAGTTCGGATTTTGCAACTTTCTTGGAATTTCAAAAGATTAACAGAAAGGATGATGAAAGAACAAGTTTTTCACTTTTCCAAGTTAACTAATGAAGATAACATATGGTAAGAATTTCCTAGTAAAAGCTACAATAGCCTGAAAAAAAAAAAAAAAAAAAGAGTTCTCATCAATTAGCAGTACCTGTTGTGTAGAGTTTTTGGCGTAGCTGTTGGGGCCATCTCCACCTTTCATTGGATATTCCTCGGAAACATTACTGGAATCCTCCATTGCAGCTGCAATCTCTCTCCCTCTCTCTCTGTTTATCTGAGGGTTGTGGATGGTGTGTGGGAGCAAGGCGTCTCCGGGATTTCAGAGGCATTAGCGAAATTTGTAAAAATACCCCTTCTGACTTGGATGCGATATCAATTATTTAATTATAGAAAGGCATCAATCATAGGACACAACTTTTCAATTATATACAAGAGTCTAAATCTTCTGCACCCATGGCCTCTCCGTGGACTACCTCATTGCTTGACATCTGTCCCCAAACTTAATCTCATCAGAGTCTGTTAACTATTAATTAAAAAAAAAAAAAACTTGATATAAGTCTATTTTTTTTATCCAATAGTAAGAATAGTTCAATTTATTAAAATAAGTTCAATTCCTTAAATTTAATTATTTTATTATCAATAATTATCTATTCAATGATAAGATTTATTATGAAAATCAAATTTCTTCCTAATTATCTCCTTGATTATTTATTTTTTGTTATTTCTTGTTCCTCCTCCTGCTTTAAATCCCATTTATAGATTTTATTTTTAATTTTTACAACCAACCTAAATCACATGTTAATTATTTTTATGTATCTATATGATAGATTCTTTTTTCTAATCAACATGTCACATATTAATGTGTCTTGTTTGTAGGTATATTATGTTTTTTTCCTACCTTTTAGTTAGGTTTCATATTTCGCCTACATGTATAATATACATTCATATATTTATTACTTGAGTTAATGTAGAATGTTTTGTAGATAATTTATGTTAGTATATTAGTTTTTTTTTTTTTTTTTGTTATAAAATATTAATTAGATTTTTTGGAGTTGAAAAATGCATAATATTTTAATTGATTTTTAATATTTAAAAAAAATATAAAATGAGTATAAAGAAATAAACATGTAATTAGATAACTAGACTCACTCCTAAAAACCATCTATGTTTTTGGATCTAGATCTAAAAGGCCCATAAAAAATATAAAAAATAAGGTCAGTGGTCACTGACACACCCAACCCCGACAACAACCCATCGACCGGCAATGCCCTCCCCTTCGTCAACCAAGATTCCACTTTCTCGCACTCCATCATTGGTTTGGGGTGTTGAGGTAAAAAAAAAAAAAAAAAAGGGTAAATCTCAGATTTACTATCCTTAAGTTTCGTGGTTTTCAACATTTGGTACATGAAATTTTTTTCATCCAAAGTCATACCCAAAGTGTTAATTTTGGGACAATCTCATACATCTGTTAGTTTGGCTATTAAGTTTCTCGTTAATTGATGATGGGACGTCCATGTGGACAATGACTAGACAACACGTGTCATTAAGGGGTCCACGTGGAAATTAAAATTAAAAAATAAATAAATAAAAGGATTAAAAATTTAGAAAAATTAAAAAAAATTAAAAATTAAAAAAAAAATGCAAAGTAAAAATCAGCCATAGGGATTTAGGCCTTCCCTTTTCCCCCACCCACACGACCCATTTTCTTCCTTTTCTTTTCGAGAGCCACCAAAGCCAATTTCCCAATTCTCTTTTCCCAAATCGGCACCACCATGACACCACCGCATGGATTCCTTCTCTTTCTTCTATGTCGACAACAACAACGAAGAAGCGTAATCGAACTCCTCCCTCTTTTTGGTCAACAACAACGAGAAAAGGGGCAACGTCATCGTACATGGATGCCATTTATGTTGTGGTACGCCCAATTGGTCCACAAACAGAGAAAACAAAAATGTAACAAGATTGTGCAGAAATTATAAAAGAGAGAAGAAGAGGCGAAAGAAGAAGGGAAAGGCAATTTTCATTCATCATACCCTTTTCAGAATACAACACATTATTTAAATACATCTGAAAGAGGGAACCCTAGCATCAATAGGCTGGGCCTTGGACAAAACTTAGTTGAAGGCTAAAAAGTGTGGGCTAGGGTCAAAAGTTGAAAGGCCCAACGATATAGTCCTAACAACTCCCCCCCTGCGGGCTTAAGACGAGACCTGTCCTCAGGTTTGAAACTCAGGATAACGAGCAATGATGTCGTTGGCTTCCTCCCAGGTTGCATCTTCTGTCGGCAGACCTACCCATTTGATTAACCACTTTGTCACTGCAGTATTCTTTTTCTTGAACATGCCCCTGTCCAATATTTGTTCAGGCTGCCAATGAAGGAAATCTTTGAGGTCAGATGGTGGAAAGGCAGGACTTGCAGAGGCCACCAGAACCCACTGATCTGGTGGTACCTCATAGTAGTCTAGATGTCTTTCTACCATGGCTAACCAACCATAAGGATCATCCCCATTAAAACAGGGTAATTCCATTTTAATGGGTTTGAAATTAGAGTGCTGAGGAAATGTTGTGGGGGGAAGGGTGGGTTGGGTTGAGTGGGATTTGGTGTGGGGGAGGGAATTATATGGAAGGATGAGGGTTGGGAGGGATTTGGGGAAAGGGTTTTGGGGGAAGAAAATAAGAAGATGATGCGGGTTGATTTGTGAATAGGTTGGGCGGTTGTTGATGGTGGTGGGTGATGAAGTGGTGCGGGTAGCAAATAAATAAGGGGAAAATAGGCTAGACGTGGGTAGGGAGGGTTAGAAGGACCCAAGCCCGAGTATGCACTTGGGGGAGGGGCGAACAAGGAACGAAATGAGAGTGTGGGAATGGGTGTGGAAGGACGGGTCATCACCAAGGTTGGGTTGGTGGAGTAGTGGTGGATTAGGGAGGCTAGGGTGGTGGGGGGTGGGTTGATTTCAGAAGACGAAGTTCGTCGGGCATTAATGATTGAAACGCTGCAAATGAGATGTTTGCAGTGTTCATCTGATCAAACGATTTCTGGAGGGTTAATTGTTGTGTCTCAAAGGATGCAATGGAATCACCAAAACCCTTCATCTGGGCGCGAAGGTGTTCCTGGAAAGCATCCATAGTGGTGGCAAACGTATCCGGGTTTGAGGAGGAAGTTGACTGGGTGTTTTTGCCCATCAATCGATGTGCTCTGAAACCAATTGGTACGCCCAATCGGTCCACACACAGAGAAAACAGAAGTGTAACAAGATTGTGCAGAAATTATAAAAGAGAGGAGAATAGAGGAAAGGCAATTTTCATTCATCATACACTTTTCATAATATAACACATTATTTAAATACATCTGAAAAAGGGAACCCTAGCATCAATAGGCTGGGCCTTGGACAAAACTTAGTTGAAGGCTAACAAGTGTGGGTTGGGGTCAAGAGTTGAAAGGCCCAACAATATGGTCCTAACATGTTGCCATATACTTATATCCAGAAACCATTCACACAAGAAATCGTGTGCTCAAATCGACCTTGCAACCCAGAAACCATCCAGGCCCGTTTCTCATCTATGTTCATATCTGCCCTCAAATCTTAAAACCCATCCGTCCTTGTTTTAACCCCATTTCGAATCCGATGACTTATCACCGTTGGAATACCTTCTGTTTTCCAAGCAGCTCTCTGAAAATTGAAAAGGCCAGGGTTTGAAATTTTTGGGGGTTTTGGTGTGATGAAGAAGCTGAACCCATAGCCGAAGAAGGAAGCAGGTTATCCAATCTGGCATCGATCTTCCTACGAAGCCCCCGAAGGTCATTCAATGGGTTCGACTATTTAAGGAAGATCGTAATGGGTACATGGGGCAGAAGGGTGGAAGATGGTTTTGAGGGCATGGATGAATTGGTAGAATTAGTCAGTGAAGAAGGAGGTTTCGTGGGAATGAATTTAGGTATTTTTTTCTTTTCATTTTTTTTTTTTAAATTTTTACTTTGTTTTTTTTTTTAATTTTTCTAAATTTTTAATCCTTTTATTTATTTATTTTTTAAATTAATTTCCATATGGATCCCTTAATGACATGTGGCGCCCAGTCATTGTCCACATGGGTGCCACATCATTAGTTAACGGGAGACTTAACAGCCAGACTAACGGATGTATGAGACTGTCTTAAAATTAACACTTTAAGTATGACTTTGGGATGAAAAAAACTTCATGTAACTAAATGTTGAAAATCACAAAATTTAAGGGTAATAAACTGAGATATACCCAAAAAATAATAATAATAATAATAATACGTTAAAAAAAAAAAAATTGAAGGAACGTATCCTTTATTCAAAGAAAGTGGAGATGTCAATGGTAAAATAAACCAACGGTGGAGATCAACCAAAGGACAAATCCAAGCCATTCATTATATTAATAAATAATTTTTTTTTTTTATTGATGATGGAGAAAGGGTAGTCGCTTCACAGCACACAAACCCTTATTCTACTTCTCCATCTCAAAGTAAAATGGGAGAAAGATGCCCAGCAATAGCCAACGACTGTGGCTAACAAAACCAGGAGACTGCCTTTGTTTTCCCTGACATACAGTACCCTTCTCTCCGTTTCTCTCTCTCACCGAGTCTCACATCGGTGTCCTAAATCAACACCACTACCACATGGGTTCTCTCTCTTTCTTCTCTGTCGACAACAACAATGATGCATCCATCATGGCGACTTCGAAACAGAGAATAAAGCCATTGCCCTCTAGAAATCTACCCCGCCTCCGTCTTCTCTACCGATGGAGATATCGAACCAGTGTATAAAGCCATAGGCCTCTGGAGATCTAGGACCTACACCCACAGCCACACTCACCGGAGCTCGGGAATTTCACAGCGTACTCTTTCCTCTTCTTCACCGATAGAGATATTTGCAGCACCGTCGCCATCAATAAAGGGAAGTACCAGGCACCACCTCTAGCCCAGCAAGAAGCAGCAGGCATCCTTGCCTTTATCAACTCCTCCAGCCACGGAATACTCTTTCTGTTGGAAGCTAAACAGCTTCTGAAGTTGAGGGATCAAAGGCAGTAAAGAGCTCCCGAGCATGGGTGCCAACTGCATCGAAGAAGAAGAAATGAAGGGTTTAGTCCCAACGGCTAGTTTTTTATTTATTTAAATGTATGTGTGAGTGGGTGAGTGACAAATGTACACTCCAGATTAAATCACTTCAAACCCAAATGAAGGGCTAGGATTAAATCTGGAGAAGTAAGGTAGAAATACTAGTCTAAGTCTCTTGTCAATCACCCTTTAAAAGAGTATGGGTCATGGCAATGCACCATACCCCTCAATCACTCCTCAACTTAATGA